AATGGTGTACTACCCCAGTTCCCAAGTTTTAGACATATATTAGTAAAAACTGCCTGTTACCTAGAAGCCAGAAACAAGCCAACCACTGAAAAAAATGAACTGTGGGTAAATTGGGATTAATATATGGCAAACAACGAGATTCAGGCTCACCGACTGTAAGGGACTGGTAGTGCTGTTGATAAGCTGTATTTTACTAGCCCTTACTGAAATTAATTCACCTTTATACCCAAAAAGTCAGTACTCTACCTGAGCTGTAAATGCTGACGACAAAACGCAAATAAAATGATGAAGGTAATTAGAAATGTGCTCCAGCAAGCAGTATAGTTGAGAAAAGTAAAGGGTACAGATTATCCAGGTAGGAAGATCTAGGACTTATCTGACGAATATGGCTGTATTACAAACCCACTATAACTGAACAATTCCACGAGCTGCCTTTAAGTGATTCATAAGAGTGAATTCAAGAAAACTCTCATTGGGGTAGATGAATTATTTAGGCAGTCTTTGTCTGAGTGAAATCATTGGTTTAATTTTACTTTTTATTTGTTTTTCTATTTTTATACTCAACGAAGACATTGAAGCAAGTAACAGAAATATTCAGAGCGTATGCGGTAAATATCCTTTTTGGAAATCAAATGATGTTATTGATTGGCTCGAAAACAGCAGATATATGATGATGAGAACAGTTAAAATTGAATCCACCAACATCAAGTAGATGTAATGTTCTTAAACAAAACCTGGAAATGAACATTTAATTAAATGAACGAAAGCGAAATTAGTGGGGAAATAAATTTATGGAGAGGAATGTGATATAATTTGATATAGTTTAAATTTCTGACTAGAAATGTGTAGAGACAACACTGAGAAAAACTGCACAGAGGTCAATCAGTTATTTCCTTGTAGTTACTGAATAAGTAGTTCCAGAATACTTGTTCTGAACTTTATGATAATTTACCTCTTAAATTCTCTTCTGATCTCATAAAACAGATATTTTCATCAATATTCCGGTAGTTGATGAGTATATAACTGATTGATTGATTGATTCACCTTTCTTGTTAGTAGTTCCTCGGTGATACGAAATAATAATAATTCTTTGGAGTGTGAATGCTAAAAACGACCTCATTCAGTTGGGACAGTTGGAAAAATATTTAAGATTCTCATGGTAAAATTTGGGTCTAAATATGTAGGCAGAAAATCTTGTTCGTAATTAGATCTTTTCACGCTTTTCTCTCGTTATTATTCGCGAAATGAATTTGAATATATTCATGATTACTTAGTAGGGATGAATACATACCTAATTTCAGAAAGAAAATTTAAGAAATCAACCGCGAAACTGTAAACGATCACTGTGTCTTAGAAATGAATATTTATTTAGTTGTAATTTAAACGTGATACGTTAAACAGAATTTTGTTCCAAAGACCAATAAGAACCATTCGGAGAATATTTAACTCAGCAAACCTTCGTCTGACATTTTCTTGCCGGCGAATGACTGTGACTCAAACAATGAATAAGATAATTAGTTCCACCACATCCTCATGCATCTACTGATTACAGTTTTCCTGTGGAGACATGTTGTAATTAATTGTAATCGTAGTATTAGTATTTCGAGATGACCGAATTACAAGAATCCAAACAAAACACAGAGAGGGCGGAATTCAGGAATTTGTATTTAGCGGAATTCTAATGCAATTCATATAAGAAATATTATAAATCAACAGTAAGTATTTAAACAATACAGAGATAGAAATAGTCAATCACCACAAGACAGTTACACTAGGAGTACCATTAAACAGACTAGTCTCCGATTATGAATGAGTAAAGGACAGGTAAGACATATTCAAAGCTCTGTTTCTTCTCATCTCGTTGATGGCAACCATTCAGTTTGAAAAAATGAAGCATTCAAAGTGATTCATTTCAATCAGTCGACTCTTTTTAGTGGTCTTTGTATTCGTCTATAGTATACAGTGGAGGCTAATAGCGTCACAATTAATGATTCTTAGCTGTGTTCAAAAGTTTTGCACACCTGTTATTCCTCTCTTGAACATTTTATCTCCCTTACCATTCCATCTTCCTTAAAACCCAGTCAATCTAGCTCTGTTATAGTTTAATGTTACGTAATCTTTTTGTTACTTTCTTAGATATTTATCTACTACCTCCATCTGGACATTTATTTTCAAAATTATTCTTTTTGATGATATTTGTGATATATTACCACGATGGATTAATATAAAATACTTTTTAGTTCTCAAATGTGAGTTTGCAGGGAATAAAATAGTTATAGGTTTGTTCGTGGTGTCCATAAAGTCGGATGAGGGAAAAGTTACTTACCTATGATACTGACAGGTGGTCACACTGTATATCACAAATTGTAAAAAGTTAAAATTTATGGCCCACCAGGTCAGATCCCAGTGGCTGAATGGTGTATGAGCTCGCCTTATAGCTGTAGGGTCCTGGATTTGAACCCCATTCGTACATACAGCTGAGGAGCGCCAAACTAAGAAGAGACAACTGTTCAGTACTGCCTAGTTTGCCACTAGTTCTCTGATTGATGTCAGCTCTTGTACAAACCCAACTATTCATTTGTAAAGTTTTTAATGTTTGAGGAGATCTAATGGAAAACAATATTGTACAGTAGCATGAGTTTTAAAGTATGCTACTTATAAATCTGTGTTCGATGGGATGTATACAAATTTTTCTGACTACATCATTTCTTTTGCTTCTTAAAGCGAGTTATCTAACTTCGCTTATGTATGGAGATGAACATTTCTGTCAATTATGCTTCTATAAATATTTAAAAGCAAAAAGAATATAGAAGTGCACGGAGATTTAGAGAACGAACAGCTAAAATCTTAATAAATGAAAGACAGATCGTGTAACATCCCTTAGAAATATACATCATTACTCACTACTACTCTCGAAGTTTTCATAGGTAAAGAGCACCTAGTTTACAAAGATACTGAACTGGGAAACATAACTAATCACTCCATGCTATTGTATGTTATAGTGTCGCACTATATCAATGTTAATATAGAGGAGGATATATACACTGATATCATAATCCATGGAAAATTCCCATTTGGACAAATAGAAAAAATATGTAGAAGACACCTGTATTATTTATAATGATGGTTATGATTTGAATAATATATTAAATGCATTTAATGGTTACCATCCAGTGATAAAATTCTCACTCGAAAAGCGGAAATAGTCTAACTGACTGAACGCTGAAGAGATCGACTTATAGAAAGCTCTCATGTAATGGTCAGCTGAGAAATTTCTACAGCTGTGTACCTATTGGTCAAAAACGAAACCCGATTCCACCACTTATCATTAGCATTTGTAGTCGTGATTCTATGAAGTAGAAGTAAGGTCTTCTAGGGAAAATCCTAATGGAAAATGCGTTTCCGCCAGGTTTCCTAAAAAGGAACATGCAGTTAAAACCCATAAAATAGAATTTAAAGTCTGCAACCAAGAAAACGCTCTACACGAACCTTAAAATCAATGGTGACTAAGCTGCCAACATTCTTCAAAGAAGGATTTCCAGTCTGTGAAAAGTACATTTTCTGCAGCACTGAGGATAGTGTCTCTTAGTCAACCATTACTGTTCAATAGCGTGAAAGGCAGGATCCGGCGGTTGACCCTCTCTATGTGCTTTTATGAATTCACTTGCTCTTGTAGGACTAGGTATATCGGTTAATCGACTTGGTATTGTCCAAGAGGGCAAAAAAACACTTCCCTGCGTGGTTACTAAGAAGTGGAATTGGGACTATGACAAACACAATAACTGAACATCTGGTCGATAATGGTAATCTTATCTCTACAAACTCTTCCTTTAAACTTATCTCAAAGGAGAAAAATATCTTGCCTAAATCATTACGTATCTGACTCATTTCACCATTATCAGTTTGTTGCATAATGTTTTAGTTGCTTACTAATCTTATTATTTCTACACTATTCTTCGGGATTTATACATTCCCTGAGCTATTTTATGAAGCACATAAAAAATTACTTTTTGCCACAGTTCACATTATTATTTTTTTAAATGACTGTGAAGCTTCATGACAAATTCGTTGAAAAGAGACTTCACTTAATCATTTCCTTTGACGGTTTTTATGCCAAAATGTATGATGAAAGTAAAAGTTAAAAGAAAACAAATACTCGATACTGATGATATTGGCTAATTTTTATTGGACACTAGTAACTAGTGTGATGTGTCTAGTTCTTGGCTTGGTGCAGATTGAATTCTGTCAATCAGGTTTACAATGTGGCCACCATTCTACGTAGCTCGCTATCACGGTGCACATTGATTTGATGATATTAGATAGTTGGAGGCAATCGGCAGGAAGCCTCAGACTCAGGTTTCGTGCTAATTGGCGCTCGTCAGTCGACAAGGCATATCTGCAATGCAAAAGGAACTCATGTCCCACCCATCTAAGATTTGAACCCACGTCGCCCACTGCTGCAGTCACAGACGTTACGACTGAGCTTTTCAGGCTAGCGATTGACCTCCTGTAGGACATTGGCTAATAATCATGCTATATCTTGAATTGTCAGTAGTTAAGATTCATGGGCCATTGGATTGGGTTCCAACAGCTTAATGGTCTAAGAGTCCACCTTGTAACCGGAATATCGTGGGTTCGAAACCTGGTGGGTGTGTACTGATGAAGAGTCACAAACTAGTATGAAACAGCTGTCCAGTACTCAGAGGTTGTTTTCCAATGGTTCTCTAACCGATGTCAGCTCATAATGAAGTCTTGTAACCAGTGAAACGAATCCCTACAAACCAATACTTGAATATCACATATGGTAGATTTTCAAAAGATTAGATGGTCATATGACTTCAATGAGTTAGTTTGCTTGGGAATTAGGAAATAACTATCTATTCACTATTACGTGTTAACATAAATAACTGTTTTTCTCTATATATAATTTTTAACTGTCAGATAACTTTGAGAATAATTTCGACTCTTCATAATCCTTTTTTCCATTTGACTAATAATCTTTTTGGATATATACTGTCTCAAGAATATAAAATAAGATTATATTATGCATATGATTATAATTATTGATTATTTTGTTCAAATCTTTTGAGTCATCTAAATGAGACAAAATTACTGTCTTAATGTTAGGTAAAGATAAATTACAACAATGTCAAATAATAATGGGACATTATTTTCCTAATAATATTTTGTTTTATTGTAATAATAATTCCCTGTCGTATGGGTATAAATATTTCAAGGTCAAAGAGAAATGTTCACTATAATAACCCTGTCCTTACTACACACAGTTTAATTCGTCAAACAAAGCATGTGAATTGTAGAGAGGATAGTCGTATAAACCCATTCGATATAATTATTAATGATAATAATAATCAAGTTGAATTAAATCGATTCTTCACTGAAGGTGATCATACTACATATGATATTAGTGACAACAATGATGCTGACGGAAATGAGTTTCTTCAGAGCAATCTTCATGAAAGTGAAATTTACAAAATGCTCCAGCAAGATACACCCTGCCCAATCGTTAAAAATAATTTTATCCCATCAGATAGAACATCAGTAGTTTTACAGAAATATCATCATGATGATGGTGATGATAATAATAACAGTCAGAGATTGTTAAATATGCAAAATGAAGACAATCATTGTTTACACAGATTTAAATTTACCTCACCATCATTTTTAAGTATACAGAGAAAAAAGGCGCAAATTAAGGCAATTAATCAAAGACCAGCATGGAAACCTGCACTTAAAGTAAATTATACAAAGACTACTAATGATGATTACAATGATGAAGTGAGCAGAAAATTTAAACAATTACGCCAGAATAATTTTCAATCAACAATATGTTACAACCGCATGGAAACACCAAGTTCAATATGTAGTATGATAGGAGATAACAGTTATTATTCTTTGAATAATACAGCACATATAAGAAGGTGTACAACAGCTCAACTTATAAAAATCGATGAAGGTATACGTGAACTTGAAAGTATCAAGGGCAGTCGATCAATGAAACCTAACAGTAGACACTTATTTACAAAATCTAAGTCTAAAAGGCATAATGAACAAGATATCATTGAAATGGAAAACTTTAAAAATGAAATACGTACACAATCCAGTAGTGGCTCACATTCAAGTTATCCCAGTGATCAAATAAAGCTGACAAGAAATATAGGTAGGTTATTAAAAAATTAAATATTTAGAAAAGTCTAAATAATCACACTAATCGACGTTTAGTGTTGACAGACAATTTGTCAACTTATGACTACATTTTTGTAGAATTTTTGTACTGACAAACCACCTAGAAATTCTCCTTAAATCGGAGTATATATCTGTGCAAAACGAATATATGTTTGCAAATAATTGGCTTAAGCAGTTGACTTTCAACCGGTAGGTACCTAGCCGGAATGTTGCTCAACCTAACTGATAGTATTGTAACGATAGTATTGTTCTTCGTTGTTACTCTTCCTTTGTCTCACACCTCTGCTTACTGTCTCTATTATACTTTTCTTGTACTTTCTTCTCTTGCTTTGTGTGCTACATGGAGTGTGGCGACTTGAACTGCCGCACATATGTGCAAAGTTCTATGTCAAAAACAGACAGGCAGACAGAACGACAGAAGACAAGGAACAGGCAACAGATCGTTTATTGAGAAAATCAAGAGATATTTATAGATTTAAATGTACATTATTATTAGCGTTATTGTCAGCGGAGAAGCATCGTCTTCTGATTGGTTGTTTTCTTGATGAAGAATATTCAGTACTGCTTGTGACCGTTTGTCAGAAAGTTACGCCACATATTTACGAATTGTATTTGCACACGTTAAGTTTTCTGTGGTTGTTTATTGAGTTCCTCAAGGTTAAGCTTTGTTATTGTTGTTTTTCCAATGACCCCGATTTGGGACTTAACATTGACGTAAATTGTCGTCTACAATTGTGGCTTGCAGACAGCTCTCACCACAATATCAGCAGGCCTTCGAAAATAAGCACAGCTTACAGCCTGAAACATGCAAGACCTATTCCAGGAACCGAATGTTAAGAAACAAACCTTTGCAGACGATTTTTTCTCCATTTCATATCATCACATTTCGAGGCAACAAACAAATAAGAGATGATAGAGAAGACTCAAGCAGCATAACAGCCGAAAGATACTAGTTAAGTCAAGAAAAATGGGGATACTTAGCACTTAGACGGTTAGATAAATGCACAGAAAAAAGAAATATTTAAGTTCCTGTCATCAGTAATTTTCACCACTAATTCCTAAATTCTTCGATGCCCCTTGTGCGGAAAATACACACTGCGCTTATTCACTCATAGAATTGATAATCTACCAACTATCTAAACAGTCTCCATGGCGTTTGTCCGATCCGTCTCTATCTTGTTCAGGATATTTGTGGGTCAATAGGTTCTTGATTGTTTTGTTGCCTGAGCTCCTGCGTTCTTATTTTTTGGCTAACTGTTCTTCAATATTGAGACAGCGAAAGCAGTTGTCAATAAAAGTGAGCAGCCTGTTAGAAATGATTTTGGTAACGCCTGCTCCAAGAAGAAGAAGTGACTTACTTAATATTGGTGTTGAAAATCAGAATTTCATTCTTTATGCTGAGTGCAGAAGACTCCCAAACTGATTTCAGATTGATGAAGGTTTAATAGACAAAAGACAAGTAGTTCAGCGAAGAGACTCTTTTTGGCGAATTCATTTTGATGGCTGTACAATCACAAATATATATGGTTGTTTTGTATGTTTGTATACGTTAAATTTGTTAAACAAAAATACAATTAGTAAGTTCCGATGAGTTGGATGTTGATATAAGAGGGTAGTAACAAAAGTGATGAGTGGTCACAAACGTATGATAAAGAAGAGTTATGTAATAAAACGAAATTACATACAAACATTGCATACAAACAAAAGTTAAGTCAAATCAACGGAGTTGTTACCATGAGAGTAGAAGTGGTTGAATAATTTTCTTTTGTATGCACAGTTCTGGTTCCTCCAAATGAATGGCTAGGGCTTCTGCGATGCAAAGAAGACGGAATCGCACTGTTTTTGGAAGGTTGTTCTTCACTTTGTAGATTACTTTGAAGGAGGCGTTTGTTGAGATGGAATGACCAGTGTTGACGAGATGTTCGATTATTGCACTCCTTATACGGCCATTACTTCCTTTCTTCAGCCACGCTGGATAGTGTTCCTTGACCCTTTTTGACAGGATGCGTGTTGAACGACCAATGTACCTGGCTCCACAGCAACAGGTGAACTGATATATACACATAGAAGTGGTCAGGTTTGAGATCTTGTCCTTTGGGCTTCTGCAGATCAGCGGGCGACTGGAGAACACTACTCTGAATGTTGCCCGCAGGGAAAGTTCTTCTTAAAGAGGTGGAAATTCTTCTTCTGAGGACGTCACTAAGTAGGTCTCCTTTGAAGTCTAGGTTCATATAAAGTATCTTTTTTGTCACGGATGGCGTCTCCTGCTTTTGGATTTTCTGTCTGATGTTTTTGTCTATGAATCTCGGTGGATATCCGTTTTGTATGAAGATTTCTTTCAGGAAGTTTAGTTTTTCTTCCATGGTATCAGAGCTGCAGACGTGAGTGGCAAAAGATCTAATTAGGTTTCTTTTCCTACTGATTGGTACCCAGCTGTAGAAGCTTGTCAATTGGCCGTTCTATGTGGATTTCCTATGGATGGACCTTCTTAAAGTTCCGTCGGCTCTCCTTGTAAGTTCAACATCAAGAAAAGGGATTTTAGATTCCTTTTTTATTTCTAGAGTGAACTTTGTGGCTGGATGGCATTTGTTGAATATTTGCAGTGATTGATTGTGATCGTGGCCGTCATCACAGATAATTAAGATGTCGTCCACATATCTGACATACAATTGAAATTTGTCAATAGTTGATTTGAGCGGACCGTTCTCGAGGCTTGCCATGAAGCAGTCTGCTAGTAATGGGCCCAGTGGAAATCCCATTGCCATCCCATCTTGTTGTCTGTAAATAACCTCGCTGAATGTCAATTGTACATTGAGTGTACATCTCAGTAGTAGTTCTTTTAAACAGGTCGTCGGTAATCCGATGTTCAGCTGATTTTCGTCGATAAAATAACAAATGTAAGAGACAGTTTCTGTGAGTGAAACATTGGTAAATAGTGACTCATTGTCGAGAGAGAGCATATTTTTGTTCTTTGCATTGATATCTTTAATGTAATCTACGAATTGGAAAGTGTCACGAAGCGAATAGTGGCACAATCGTTTTCGTACAGTTTCTAAAATGTTAACAAGCCATTTCGCTACTGAATGGTACGGGGAACCTGACATTTACAGAATTGGACGAAGTGGGAGGTTGGCTTTATGTATCTTTGGTAAGCCGTATAGTCTTGGTATTAGTGATCCTGTCGGTCGGATCAGATTATAGACTTCATGACCGATTAACTTTTCGGTTTTCATTCTTTTGAAGACATAGGTGAGTTGCTTTTCAATCTGTTCTGTTTTGTTACTTTCGTTGGGCGGTTGTCTTTCCAATCCTGACTGGCTTTGACTTCCTTATATGTGACATCAGCTGTAGTTGTGACGATGCTGACTGACTAGATAAGTGAAGGAAGTGACCTTTTTCAAATTCCTTTATTTGATAAACGTTGACGCCTATTGTTGGTTAGTGGGTTATGTCCATCAACCGCCTCTTCTCTATGTTCACTCGAAATCCTGTCTTTGTTGCTTCTTCTGCCAACTTGTTGGTTTTTTGCCCGTCAGTCTTTCAGTTTGTGTGGTTACAGATATTAATCACTCGCGATATTCAAATTTTCTATAGTCTGTATATCGGTCCAGTATATTCCTGTTTTCTCTCTCCCCACTCACAGTCTGGCGCACAATCCAGTCCACCAGAATTAAGAATATCATCGTGGATGATAGTGATCAGTCTTGTGTCACTGCTGTATTTATTTCAAAAACTTCGCTGAGTTTTTCCTTGCGTGAATCATTTGACTTATGGCATTGTTATATAGCTACTGAATGAATGCAGATAAGGAATCGCGGTACTCCGTAGTGTTAAATTAACTTACAAATTACATATGAAGTAAGCAGGAGAAATTACAAATGTAGTCAGTAGAGTAAACGAATTACTTTATATTGAAGGGAGTTTTTGATTGAACACTTGTGAGTAAATAGTGTAATGCCTGTGTGTGTCTAGTCCTATCTTTGGTGCAGACTGAATTCTATCAGTCAAGTTTGCAAAGTGGCTACTATGCCACTAGGTGGCTCGCCATCACGGTGTTCTGTGAATTATTTATATTACATGGGTGGAGGCAATAGACAGGAAGCCTTGTAACTAGATATTACCTCCACCCATCTAATATAAACAATTCATAGTGCGCCGTGATGGTGAGCTACCTAGAATGGTGGCCACATTGTAAACCTGACTGATAGAATTCAGTCTGCGCCAAGCAAAGGACTAGACACATCACACTAGTTAATAGTGTGCAATGAAACGTATATTACTGAATTTTCATAAAATCATACTGGCATATTTTGGTCTGTTTACTGAAATACCCTAATACCCACCGGATAAAAATGGTGCCACTTATGTCATAAAATCACCAAATTTTAACATACTTGTAAATGTTTCATGATGTCAATTGACAGCAGACTCCAAACTTAATAAAAACAGTGCTCAGCGAATACACTTGTGTATTTTATACCTAGAAAGTTTCAGGTTTAAAGAAAAATAAATGCTTGATTGCAATAGCAAAGCAGTTCTTGCCTAATCTTAACTTTAAACTATTAAAACTGACTACACTAAATGATATTTAAAACTCTACTAAAATGATTGTGATGCCTAGTTCTTCCAAAAAGGTTTTATATATGCAATAGCAGCCATCTTACAAATAAACTGACTGATTTGCAGCATATGTAAATGGACATTGATCTGTTCGATTTAGATGCTCTGTAAATTAAATTCATTAAAATTTGTGTCCCCTATTCTATGTTGTGCCATTTATTCTACTATCTGTGTTGAAACTTTTAAAGTAACCAAAATAAATTAAAAATCAAACAGTGCCAAGTTCAATCTGTGCGAATCGTGTTAATTCCAAAGTTATAAAGAGGCTTCTTCCCCTTGAAACTTAATAATTATCCGTATAAATTAGTCAAGAAATATGTAAGGAAATGTAAAAATAAAATAAATAACGATATT